TCTCCCTTACTGCAGCTCTCGTGGAGCCCTTTCTCTACCCTGAACCTGGAGCCCCATGTTTTCACACTGTTTAACCATCCACTAGAGAATGCTAGAAATAAGAAATAAGGTGGGAAGCTCAAGTGGGCTTTCGTAATGTAAGTCTGAGTGTCCTGCCTTTGTATTTCTAGTGATAAAGTGTTTCCTGGCTCTTCTGCCTCCTTAGTGAATATCAGGAAGGTCCTTTCAATCACAAAAGCCCTACTTCAGGAGAGAGTAGGGCAGAGGTGGGGGGATGCCTCCTCTCCACATGAGGTTAGAAACACAAGTCAACTGAGACTAGTTTTTATGTCACAGACTTTTTGTTTTTGTTTTTTAAAAGAATTTATTTATTTAGAAGAGAGAGAGCAGCGGGAGGGAGAGAGAAGATTTCCAGCAGACTCCCCGCTGAGCAGGGAGCCCAATCATGACTCAATCCCATGAGCCTGGAGATCATGACCCGAGCCGAAATCAAGAGTCAGATGCTCCACCGACTGAGCCACCCAGGTGCCCCATGTCATAGACTTTTGTTTTCTCCTCTCCCTCCCTCTATGAAATCCTATTTTCTTTGCCCTTGCTTCCACCTGCTCTCCCAGCTCTCTATCCTATCCATGTTGGTTTCCTGCCCTTGAACTTACCTCTCTTGAAGATCACCTGGTTTTTCTCCTGCCAACTGTTGCTGCATTGGAGACCCTCACCCTCCTCATTGATCTGTTTTATTTATTTATTTATTTATTTTGCTTATATGCTCAACACTCCCTGCTAGCCATTTCACTAAGCCCTAAGCAGCCTTTTCTCTGGTCCCTGAGAAGTAATTCAAGAAAGGGAAGCTGAGTGAGGACACAGCCAACTATACAAGCCCTAAAGCCCAAGAGTCCCTCCGACCAATTGCTTTTTTTTTTGGACCCAGTAAGTGCTTCCTGCTTCCTGACACAAGCTTTTCTTACTTCCTGAGAGTTCCTGATTAGTATTCTGAAACAGCTTTCTCTGATGACATTAGTGGGAAACCATGCTGTCAATTTATTTATACCCAGCCTCAGGGCACAACTACCATGCGTGTGTAAAGCTATTGAGGTGCAGAAAATACTGTGTGTGTATATATATACATATTGACTAGAGGTGACGTTTAGAGTGGAAATCCATTGCCCCATGGGTTGGAAAAGTGACTAACAGTAGGATATAAAAATGCCAGGGAAAGACTTGGTGTTATTGCTAAATGCAGGTCACTTTTTCAAATTTGTGGTTAATAATTTTCTCCAGGAATGCTCTATGCTATATGGGTAATCACAGCGTCCTCTGTGTGGACTCGTTCTTCCCGAACTTGTTCTGTCCAAACTTAAGGTGGCCTGGTCTCACATTGTAGGAAAGGACACATCCTCATTAAGTCTCCTACTTCTGGGATGGATAAAATGGGCCAGTGGCCTGGGGCATACCACAAGGGAGAATAGGGAGTAAGGGCCTCTGGTGGGCAAGGAGCTCTGATGTTCTGGCAGGAAGCATCCTGGGCATAGGATCAGGGGTCTTGCTCAATGAGGGTTCAAAGATAATCTTATCTTAACCTCCTCTTAAGGATTATTTAGGATTAAACTATATATATCTATATCTGTCATCGATCCAACTGTAGGGGAATAGGGCAGGCTACCCCAAGATGGGCCACTTGGGCATAAAGATTATTTTGAGTTAAAAGTAATCAAAACCCAGCAGATGCAGGAAAAGCTCTCTGCCTCCCTCTCAACTGCCTAAATTTACATTGGAAAGGAGAGCCTGGAATTGGAAGGGAGCTATTAACAGAGACTCCCCTTTACCTACAGAACTTACCTGTATCATAGGGCAACCATGTTTTTCCAAATGTCCCTTTTCAACTTCTTGCCAATGAGCTTTCTCCCCTCTGTATCCTCAGACCCTACCCCTCTCCTTAGCTCATATAAGCTTCATATTGCCTCACTGTCTTTGGAATTTCCATGTTATGTGGATTCCCCTTATGTATGCCTATTAAATTTGTCTCATGTCAATTTGTTTCTAAGTCCAGCTAAAAAGACCATAGGAAAGAGGAAGGTCTTCCTCCAAGACAAACACATCTTTGCTTCCATTCATCTATGTATTTATCTATGTATCTATGTGTCTAGTTTGTAAATGTATATAGTATATATGTCTAGAGTATATTTATTAGTAAGATGAGAAGACTTGACCAGCATAATTATCTGGGCTGTGTTAGACTCCCTTTTGTGTGTTCTCATAGTATCTGCATTTTTTTGGCCACAGCATTTTTAAAACTATAATTAAACAATTATTAATGTAACTGTTCGATACTAAGTTTCATGAGGGAGCAGGGGTTGTGTCCTCAGCTTGAGAACAGTGTAACAGTGTTTGTCACTTGGAAGGGATTTACTGTATTTTTTTTAAAGAATGACTGAGATAATTTTAATGTTTGTTAAGTCTGAGTATGAAGGTTTTTTTGGTTTTGTTTTGTTTCTTTGACTAATGGACACTGATAACCCTGTTGGTCTCTTTGGATTCTGGACTAAATAATATGATTCAATAATACCCCAGATGCTTATATCACTAATTATTGTTATCTCATTTGGGGTTTTTATAGCTGCCTCACAAAATGAGAGCAGGAGTCCTGTTTTATAGCTGTAACTCTTGAGGCCTCCTGGACTTTGACTCCACCCAGTATTCCTCATTTGTAGACTGACTCTTACCTGGAAACATAGGTCTTGACCTTTCCCAGGATTGTCTGATCCAAAGCATATGCGGGTTGTAGATACAGAAACTCCATAGTCAGAATCCTAGCGTGGCGTACATTTCTGATACCTGCCCCAAGACCCCCACTAATAATCTAGTAATCACTTGGCCATGTGTTCGGGGTTTGATTTTTTTTTTTTAAGATTTATTTATTTATTTGAGAGAAAGAGAGAGCATGGGTCGGGGGGAGGGACTGAGGGAGAGGGAGAAGTGGACTCCCTGGTGAGCGTGGAGCCCAACTTGGGGCCCAGTCCTAGGACCCTAGATCATGACCGAGTTAAAGTCCAATGCCTAACCAACTGAGCTGCCCAGGGTGCTCCTGGAGTTTGATTTTAGAAACATGGTCACAGAAGCACTAAGGAGAGTAGCTCTCCATGTGACCAGGACGAGGTGAATCATAGAATGTTAGAACTGGGAGGAGCGTTGCAATTGGCCTTTGGACCTCACTTCTAACTGTATCTTACAGGTGTGGTAAATGAGGTGTGGAGACATCATAGAAATACCCAAAACTACTGCACACAAAGTGGTTTCCCCCCTACCGCACACACACATGAAAATTTTGACGAGGCCAGAATTATAATCCAGGTTCTCTTATTGCTAGTGTAAGAGAATTTTGATTGAGACTTCCCCTAGTTTTGGAATTTGCAGCTAGTAGATTGCAGTAAAAATCATGAAAATACTCTACATTATATATATATATATATATATATGTATATATATATATATATATATATATCTGAAAACCAGAGAACAAACAAACAATTCACTGGGCAGATACCTTCTTACTAAGAATTTACTTATTAAGAGGAGTCAGATTTGAGCCTACTTCTTGCACTACACCCCACTCCAAAATACAGGAAGGGGGACTGGTGGGGCAGGGTTGGGGGAATCGTCATCAACAGCCTCATGCAAGACCAGGCTCAAGGTGAGAATACTTTCTACTTCCTAAGTCCTCAGAAGCTGAGTTAGCTAAGAGCTCTAAAATAGTTGGTGGTAGAAACTGGAGATGGCTGCGAGAAGGAAAGACTGGCCTGTCTTTTCTTGCTGGCTGGTTGCTTGCTGAGATGTAGATCCTGTAGATCTAACCTACGCTGAGGAAGCTGGGAGCCGAGAGCTGGACAGTTGTTTGGTGCTAGGCGGCAGAGGAATTATACCACAACCCCCATCCTCCTTTACACCTCTCTCCAAAGAGAAGACAGATGTTTGATGCCTCTGTCTTGACCTCTAATTCTTACTCTGTTAGAAATTTCATATCTGGGCTCAGAGTTGCATGTTCTATAGTTAGCACCATTTCACAGAAGATTGCTGTTGGTTCCCTGCCTATTTTAAGCATTTTTTTCTTATTATTTTTGCAGTATCTAGCTGGGAAGGGGATACTTTAGGGTTACAGACTTTCCAGTAAAAGAGATTGTAAGGCTATGCCTAAACTGACTATAAATGTCTCTATTGTGTGGGATTGGACCCTAAGTAATCTGCCATAGTCCTCACTAACAGTATGTGGATACCTAAAAGAGTAAACAAATAATTGAACGATTGAATGGATGGATGGATGAATGAATAAACCCTAATAGGAACACATCCTAGAGTGTTTGCATCAGTGAAGAACCTGATATTTAAACTGACCACAAAAGTCTATGTATTACTGTTGTTATACCACATGGATTCAGAGCCAGACAATTTGGGGTTCAAGTCCCAGTCTTCTACTCAGCAGCTGGATGATCCTTGACCAGATATGTGATTGCTCTCTGCCCTAGCCTTCTCAGCAGTGAAATGGAGATGTTAACATCATCCTTTACAGGGTCATGATGAGAATTGGGAGATAATGCCTAGAAGGTTCTTAGCAAAATGCCTCATAGGAGGTGTTCAATAGAAGCCTCCCTATTTATTCAGCAAACACCAATCAATGTCTGATCAATCCTAGGTCTGAGTAAGGGGAAACAGGCATAGACACATTCATAGGGCAAAACCTGTTTCCTCAAGGAGGGCACAGTTTATCTGAGTGAAGAAAGAAAAAACCAAATGGCCCTACCTAGGGAACTTAGTTTGTAAGCTAAGGAAATGATAATAAGTCTTCCTTTTTGGAATGGTCAAAATACTATATGTTATCATTGTGTGCATGCTTAAAATTTAACATTTACATGTGTATTTGTTCACACAATTATCATCTTTTTTTTTTAAAAAGGAAGTCAACACTTTATTATATAAAATAAAGAGAGTAAAATGAGAATTAAAACAAGCTACAAGTGCCTTCCTGGGTCCTGGATTTTTAGCACAAGTTGTTAGAGATGAACAGTTGTTAGTCCAGTCACCGTGAACAGCATTAGAATCTTGCTTCCATTTGATCAGAGACTGTGGTCCTCCATATGATCAGTGACTACATTTTTCATAAATAAGTTTGTGTAAGATTTGGGGAAATCAGTGCAAAGCCTTTAACTCTTATATAGAAAATCCAAAATGTTAGAGTGGACCTATAGTGTAATTGGGTGTTAAAATTACCACTGAAATTCCCAAGTATATATGCTGCCATATACTAAAAAGAGTTGCCACAGGAAAATTTCAAGGAAATATGTACCATCAAATGCTATAACCTTTGAACCTGTTAGCCAAATCAAGACTGTAGGAAGAGGCCAGTGTAGAAAGAAGGTTGGTAAGGATAAGATTGTGTTAAGGACTCCATCCCATCCCCTACCCTGCCTTAAGCCTAGAGGAGCAACTTCAGTGGGAACACTGAAAGAGCCCTCTGAAATCTGGGAGCCATTGTGGATCGGGGTTGGATTCCCACCCAGGTAATCTAGAGGATAAGCAATATGTTGAATAACTACATTGATGGTGGGTCAGATGCAAGAGAGACAGCAAAGGGCCATCTCAGGCTCCATCCAACTGAGCCACCTAGAGTGGTAGAGAAACACCAACCATGTTTTGGGAGAGGGAATGCTCTGTAGGGACTGTCGTCAGAGTCTCAAGTGACCCCCTGGGATAGAGATCTAGCTGCCTCATCAGGACCTTCCAGAGAATAGCAGTTGTACATCGCCGCCCCCCCCCCCCACCAGGTGGCCTCCACATCAGAGGGAAACTGCACCTACCAAGTGAGACTGGACCTTTCCCTCTTATGACCTCTCCTTGGGTCTAACTGGATGCACCAAAATAGCAGTAAATGAGTTGGAAGGAAGTAAGGGGCTCATACTTCAGTTTACCACCAGCCTTGACTAGGAGAACCCTTGCCTTTGAATAAAGATTAAAATACCTATCTACACACTTCACAGGATATTTCTAACTTGAACTTCTGTCACATAAGAGCTAGAATTCGTATTCTGCCTACACCTTCATTCCAGAGCGAGAGGAAGGCTACGTTCAATGTTCAATGTTCCCATCTCTTCGCCCACGCAAGCTTTGTGCAACCCGAGGGCCAGGTCTAATCTCATCCATAGCAGGTGACCTGATAAATGAATTAATTCAAATATCACTGAATTAAGGAAGAGACCCTAGGAGCCCCTGAGGACCCAGAGAAGGGTTTTTAGGGGCTGTGGTTGGATATTGGACCATGTTTTTAAGGTTCATCCATGTTGTAGCAGGTATCAGAGCTTCATTCCTTCTTATGGATAAATAATATTCCATATTATACATTTTGTTTAGCCATTCATCTGTTGTTGATACACATTTGGGTCTTTTCCACCTTTTGGCTATTGTGAATAGTACACTATTCGAATACAAGTATCTATTTGAGTATGTTTTCAAATTTCTTGGATGTATACCAAGGAGTGAATTTTCTGGATCAAACAGTGCTATGGACTGAATGATGTCCCTCAAAAGTCATATGTTGAAGCCCTCACCCCCATTGTGATGATGTTTGTCATCTTGTACATGCAGGGCATGTATTGGTTGGTTGGTTGTACTGCACAGAAAACAAAGGGGTGTTTATGAAAACAGAAGGAAAGTGGGGTTTTTTAATGAAGAAAATTCCCTGCCTCTTTTATTCCTAATCCTTCCTTCCTTGCTCCCCACCCTCAAGAAGGTCATAGAAAACCTGGAAATTTCCAGATTCCTGATACTTTCCCCAGAATTGACCTGTTCTCTGACTCATTTCTTCCAGTCCCAAACCTCCAGTGAATGGCCAGGTGGTGGTAACACATTTAATAAGCTATATAAGACTTGCTGCTATTTTATCCATGGATACTACTTTAGAGGGTTACTAATAAGAGGCATCTGAGCATTGTCAGATTGGCAGAGGGGATGATTTGAAGCAGGGAGACCTTTGGTTTTCTTAAAATCAGACCCTGCTGAAGTCCAGGCATCTGAAGGTCAAGGAGCTGCCATCTGGATCTGCAGGTGCATCTGGTGCATCTTCAGCCCCGTGCCCAGGGCCTGGGTTCTCCCTCCCTGGGCAGCATTAGCTGCCTCCTCTGTGGGACTTCAGCAGCCCATTCCTGTCTTCTGCAACCTGCCACTGTGCCTTGAACTTCTAAGTCTCTCTCCCTGATAGTACATCCCCGTTCTTTTGCCAACAACAGACTCTAACCTGAACACTCCCCCTCCTGTAAGAAACGAAACAGCCGAAGGAGGCTGGAAGCAGGAAGGGAGAGGACAGGACTGATTGGAAAGAGTTCCATTAGAAAATAAAACATTTCTCCCCTTTTGAAGTGAACACAGCCTGCTCATACGTCTCCCACTTGCTGGGGTTTCCAGGTGTTTCCCCTGAGCACTTGGGTATCAAAGTGGCACAGGCCGACCATGGGACTGTTTGCTCTGTTCCCAGAGTGATTATAGCCTGACCATGCTCAGCTCTGCTCCTGTGTTTATTACTATTATTATTACTTCTCTGCTCATGGATTCTGAAGGCCTCTCCCCACAGAAGCAAACCCTGGGGAATCACCAAGCCACAGGCACACGGTTGGCAGTCACAGTGCGGCCACTCTTGGATTGATATGGATTTAGCATGTTCCCTTTATCTGGGAAGCAGAGCCAGGGGTTTTTAGACTTACATGCGCAGGAAAGAGAGGATTCCCTGCAGAAAATGTCAGCCGAACACTCTAGGCAGCGAGCAGGGTAGAAGGAGAGTAGCCTCTTCATTTTCATCTGAATGTATCGCTGGACCAGGGGCCTCCTGCTTGCATCTGGGCTGAGAGGCATAGTCAAGGCCACATGATTTGGGGCCTAGACTTGCAGCTCTGGATTCTGTCAATGCTTTGTACACAGCAAAAATAATTTTCATTTTATTTCATTTTATTTTATTTCATTTTATTTTATTTTATATTTGAGAGGGCACAAGAGCGAGAGAGAGAGAGACAGAGCACAAGCAGGGGGAAGGACAGAGGCAGAGGCAGAAGCAGACTCCCCGCTGCACAGGGAGCCCGATGCGGGGCTCGATCCCAGGACCCCAGGATCATGACCTGAGCCAAAGGTAGATGCCTACCCAACTGAGCCACCCAGGTGCCTGCAAAAATAACTTTATTAAATAAATTTATGAAACACATTTCTCCTTGCATTTTCACTGTATGTGTATTTTAAAAGGCAACACTTACGCATACGGTCTCACATGTCAACGTCCCAAATCTGTTTGCAATTTGTTAGGCATGATTTGCTGAAAAACACAGCAAAGTTTTAGAAGGTTTCAGACACAGTCTTCTTTTCCCCCTGAATGTTAATTGTATTAATCACTGCTATCAATAAAATTTTCTTACTGATTCCTTTAGTTCGAACACTTTAAAATTAACCATTATTTCTTAATTTACTTATCAACTCAATGTGAAAATTTTATGCAGCAATTTCATTGCTTTTAAGTCCTGAATGATGATTTTTCTCTGCATTTGGTCAGGCCTCATTTGCCGATTGGATATAAAGTTGTTATATTGCTTTTGGTCAGATATTATCTTTTGGATCATAACATTCAACTCCTAGCCACACATAAATCTGCACACCTTAATGGATCTTAGCCCCTCTTCCTGTTTGTATTTGTTTTCTTCCTTCTCTGTCCCTTTCCAAAGTATTCAGTCAAGCGAATCTTGAAAGGAAATAACAAAAGTATCAAAGGAGCAGTGTTAGTGACTAGAAATGCTCAGAACTTGAATGTCTGTAGAGGGTAGGCAGATAAAATAAATGCAGGGGTTAGGAAGGTGTAAAACAGTATGTGTTTAACTGCTTACATCGCTACACCTTGATAACACCATGCAGGAGCACAGAAAATGGCTGAACAAAATATGTCTGCACGTCCTTAAGCTTCCAAGTCCAGCTAAAGCCAGAGCCATTATTCTTCCTCAGAACATCCACATTGTAGTGTATATCCTGTATGCCTAATAGATGGTAAGATCCATGAGGACTGGTGTCTTTTTCTGTCTCTTTTCTATGGTCCTCTAAATACCCACCCTGCACTCCAAAATTACACCCTGTGCCATATACACTGTGAGATACAGAGATATAGAAATGAAGGTGGTCTCCTGGAGGGGACAGACACAGAAGGGCCCTTTGAACATTGGGACCATGCGTTTTCCTTCCCAATGCCTAGCACGGGGTCATGTACATACAGAGAGCTAAATGAATGTCTATTAAAAGAGAGAGTAGAGAGTAGACTCTCATAATTATTTGCTGAGACTGAACCTACTTGCCAACCTTCAGAAAACTCTATAATTCTTCATGAAGCCAAGGACGCTCCTAGAAGATCCCATGCATAAATGCACATGCAATTTGAGGGCAACTTTCAGCTACTCATGGATCCCTATGGGTCGGTGAAACCTAGGTAGAAATCTCTCGGCAGGAACAAGCAAACTGTCCCCAGACAAGCTGGTCTAGGGTTTTGGGAAATGGCGGTAGCAATGGTAATGATCCTAAGATATTATTGGGGTGCACGGCTCCCCAGGAAGTCACTCTGGTCCCCTTGGACTGTCATGTGGCTCTGTCTCACTCTTTGACCAACTTGCTTGATTCGTCAAATGAAGCTTTCTTTTGGGGTGACTTCTCTCTTTTCTGCTCAAGCTTGGTACTTCCTTGCTTTAATTCAGCTTCTACTTTCCATAAAAATGTCATATACTAGGAATATAATTTTCCTCTCTCACCCCATTCAATAACCTGACTTCCATTGATGGATGAAAGCTTTAGCTTTCCTTGAATGTCAAGGTCCATACTTTGCCCCTCTGTGTCTTATCCACATCCATCTGACCAGGTTATATTGGAGAAAAATAGAGGTTCAAGTTGGAAGAAAGGGAAGGGAAACCAAGCAAAACTAAGTGTATATTTATATATGCATGCATAC